ATTTGGAGACCACAATCCTCCTGGTAGAGTACATAGCTCCACACTGAAGCATGACAAACATTCCATGTAGTTTTTTTTGTGAATACTGACCAGGTTTGGCTGATTAAAACTTAGTATATGTGGGGTCCATAAAAATAAAATAAGCATTTTATTTTGTGGAGGGGGAGAAGGCCATTAAACATTGGACCTTGAGTTCATATTAGATACAGTAATAAAAAGAACCTGTATATATGTGAGTTGTGACCCAAAGGGACACCAGTGGTTTATTGAGCACAACTGATCCCTGAGTCTGTGACCTTATCTTGATCATGAACTTTTTTCAAATACAATATTGATAACATTTGAACATCTACTGGTGAATCTTGAATGTGTGATGTGATTGAAAAATTGGGGAAGGAGGGGGGGCAACGTAGAAGATCACCTGATTTTGCCAAGGTTTACACTACATAATACAGTCCTCTCTTCATTTTGTGGGCACCACCCTGAAATATTGATTAGCTAACAAATGATTGAATTTTTCAATTCTCTGTGAAATTCTGAACATGATGCCCAGGTGTGGCTGGGCACCCCCAGCTTGTCATGCAGTAAATTTAAGAATCTTCATCAAAATCTGAAAAAAAATTTTAAACCCTACAATTGCATGGGCTACATCACACATATATTATTTTTTTACAGAGATACCTACTCAAGAAATAACCTAGGTCAATCAGAAGTGGGACAACCATCGAATTGTTTATAATGAAAATCAGGTATAAGGTCTTGAACGAAATTCGTGAACGAGCTCTTTCGATACTTGGCTCATTCGTGCAATATTGTCACGGTTACAATATTGTTACCTGGTGAGTCAATAAATTTGTCCTTCTTTGGGTCTTGGAACTTGGCAACACTGAACTTGTCAGCCTTCAAAAACGTCTCCATGTATTCCAAGGTGGCGTTGTCGGGATACGCCACATCATAGCCAGGAATCGGCACAAGCACCGATGAAATGCTGAAGTTGCCCGACGCCGCCTCTTCTTCAGATAGATGTCGCACCCAGGATTTGCGCGACTTGGCAGATGCGACTTGGGCGTTACTTGCGTCTTGATCGACGGAACTGACTTTGTTTTCCTTCTCGTTTTCCGAGGGTTGGTGTTCTTCAGAGTCCTCGGATCGGGGTTTCTTCGAACACGTTTCACTCGCATCTTGCGAGTCTTCTTTCTTTCGCTTCTTCGAATCAGCCTTTGCTTGAGCCACTGCAGCGAGTCTGGAGCTTCTCATGGAGTTTCTATGCTCTGCATTGTCAGTCACGGATTTCGGTTCTTCTTTCGGAGAGTCGGTCGATGAAGAGTCTTCTTCAGCAGGTGGCTTGAAATCGGGCTTGATGAACACCAGGTCTCCAGCGAGAACCTTGGTTCCGTGATCGGCAATTCGCTTCGACACCGTCTTGTTCCAGATATAGCTCTGGTACGCATGGCAGTACATCTGTCGCATGCTTCTCGGCAACTACACAAAGACAAAAAATCAGGAAAACGTTGAAAAACAAAATGGCAAAAATTCACAAACGTTGCCCAAAGCAGCGTGGAAATTCCCTGGAGCCTTCCGGAGCGCATCCAAGACTTTCCACTCCAGGGAGGAAGGGTATCGTCCTTTTTTCGGCAAGCACATCAGAGTCTTTCCGGGGTTTTTGGTCGCTTCCCACTGCTTCCGCATTTCCTGCATCTCTCGCTCTTCTTTGCCGTCTCTGGGCTTGAGCAAGAGATCCACTGCTTGGGCCCAGTCGCAGGCAAAGAGGGCTTTCCCAATGGCCTGGGTCGGGATCGATGTGGTTCCGAATCTAAACACATGCAACAAATCAACGAGAGAACCATAAAAACACAGAACACAGACTTTTTTTTCTCGGGCATATTTTGAGTGAATCGAGCCTTAAAAAAAAAAAAAAAAAAAAGACTGACCTCTGCAGTCCAAAATAGTTGATGAAACCCTTGTCTGACATCGACTTTAGTCCGGGTTCGGGATCTCCTTTGAAATCCCTGATGACAATGGTGAACTGGTTCCCAATAGAGTCTCCCAGTCTGATTGGCTCTTTGGCGTACGAAAAGTTGCCCACAACGAGCCTCGAGTTGAGCTGACCCTCGTTCCTTTTTAAATTGTCCACATTGATTTGCGCCAGCTTCTCAGCTTTCACGTGACTCAGAGAAATTCTCTGGGTCACAATGGCTGCCTTGTCTTTGGATCCCGCAAAGCTGATGATGTTCTGGGGCAACCTTGACAAACCCAAGTACAGTAAAAACTCATTCCAACAAATACCGTACCAACACATGTCTCAGAACAGTATAACAAACTTTTTCTCAAGTCCCAAAAGAAATCCCATAAAATTGTCGCGTTAAAACAAACTTTCAATAGATTCTCCACGTAGAAATTTCCTGACTAAGGCAGACACAGTCTGAAATTCCTGATCCAAAATGTGACTGACCAGTTCTTATTGTACCTTGGATGGAAGCTGTAATTATGACAAAAGTGCTTCCAATCAAGTGGTTCCACTCATCGTCCTCCCAGAATGAAGAGATTGGTGCATCTGATGGAATGCAGGATTCAAGCTGATTTTTTTATGAATATAACTCAATTTTTAAAACCATTAATAAAAAATCCGAGAATGCCAGAAAAGCAAAATCAACTTCATTATATGCAGGCATGATGTCAAAATTGTCTTCCTGTCATTAATTTCGAAAATCTTGCAGTAAAAAATTATCCAGCATGACCAAATTTTCAACTAGTTATCCGGAAAGCCCAACTGTTTCTAAAGTCCCCAGCAGAAGTGTGTAGCAACAAGAATTTCAAGAGACCCGGAAAATAGCTAACCTCAACTGTTTGGCAATCAGGGAACAGGCTGATTGAGTGTCCATGCCTTCAGTATACATCACAGCATGCAGAAACTTGGGCAAATCCGGTGGCCATTGTCTGTTTTGGACATCTCCCTTTTTGTATTTGGTGACAGAGAGCTTCTTCCTGCCATCTTCTCCATCGATTGTGCTTGAGTTGAGCTTCATTTCTGCACCAAGAGCTCGGACAGCTTTATGCATCAACATCCTCTCCTCCTTGGACTTTTCATGCACATCAAACCTGAAGGGGGGGGGGGGGTGAAGAAGAAAAAAAACAGCATTTTCATAAGATCACAGCACTGAGAGACTCATCAATAAATACATTTCATATTTTTGGTGGAATAGCAGGTGACAAATTTTGCCTGCAATAAATAATGACTCACAGCATCGGTTCTTTGGGTCCATCGGAAGCAAAGTTCTGCTTCAGCTCAGCCCATTTCCCTGGCCCAAACAACAACTCCAACTCTTCCAGGTTCTCCCAATCCGTCTCCGCACCCTTGAACACCGGAAGACTCAAGTCCGTCAATGCCGCCACTTCCCCACCCGGGGTCACTTCCTTCACGACGAAATCACAGTTCCTCCGTTTGACCCAACCCGTGAAACCCGGATGGGACCCGAGAAAGGCTTCAATGCCCATCACGGACTCACGACCCGCTGGGTCCAAACCCGCGTCACTTCGGGCTCCGGAACCCATGATGACTGGCGCCTGAGCAGAGGCTTTTCTGAGTTCGTCTAGTTCCGACAACACTTCGGTTTTCTTGGCGGCAAGGGCCTGACGAGACGCTTGCAAACGCTGCTTGATTTGCGCCTCCAACGAAACCACGCCCGCCATTTCTATTTCATTCACAAATAGCCCTGAAAAACAAAGAAGAAATGCATGGCATTCTTCAGAAATGGCCCAGCAAAATCAACGCCATTTGCAAAGTTGAAATCAGAATCCAGTAGAGGAAGGTTCAGTACAGCGTTGTGTTTCCTCAAAAAAAATATCAACTGGTAAAGCATTTACATGAGTAAAATGTATACCCAGGTTTTTCAGTCTAAAATTTTGATGAAATCATATCCACAAGGAAGACACGCAACCAATTATTTTTTTTGTTTTTCTAGAACTGCAATATTTTAAAACAAAAGCACCCAAATTTGAATTTTGACATGAATTGAGCCTGAATTAAACTAATTTTCAATTTTTTCCATTCCAATAAGTTTTTCGGCTAAAATTGGCCAGGAGTATAACGCACACCTACAATTCCAAAACTTCTTGACAAAAGTGCACCCATTTAAAATGTACATCCCCTTTTTATCTATTCATTTTGAGAAAAACGGTGTGTCTGGTACTTGAGTAAATACGATTATCAAAAAATAAATGCTAAATAAAACGTTGAAATGCAAGCGTGAAAGTTTTTGGGTATCATGGAATATTCTCAAAAGCATGTGGGACATTCTTGGAATTCTTGACATCATCCAAACAAGTGATCAGCACTTCGGAATGAAAATGGTGTGTTTCGCCATTTCTGAAAAATTGTTGAGGCAATTAATTTTCTATATGAACGTGTCATTTAAACCATGGTGCTCGGATTCCATACTTTTTCCGCTCATTTACTTAGGCACTCTTGATAATGAAGGAAGTACCAGTTTGTGTCCCAGTCCCAAAAAGGGCCGAACATATTCCCTTTCCCCTTCCTGATGCCAAACTCTTTTCGCTTTTTCTGATGATGCCAAGATTTCATACTTTTTTTCCCCCCTCAGTCCCATTTCCTAAGACATAAATTTTAGGAACAAAAGAAACGTGTCCTACTTCTGAGGAAACACAGTACTGTACTTTCAATCTCTTCAGAAACTATTCCAAAAACTAAATAAAACGGCTCATTTCAAGTCCTAAAATCAAGAAACATGCAGCACACGAAAATGCTTTCTCATGAGGAAAAAACCCAAAATATTTTCTTTGAACGCACAATGGAAACGCTTGAAAAAAAAATTATTCATAAAAAAAACACATTTCATCAAATTATCCTAGGCTTGACATCATCCGCATCATCTTCTTCCTCTTCATCCAACGCCATCTTCATGCCCGTCTTGTGCTCCGAACGGTCATTCAAGCCATTCTCAACGTCAGCACCGACTTGACCGTCTTCAGAGGACAACATGAAACCCAATGCCCGGTCAGCAAAAAACTGCTTGCCAAATGAACCCGGGATGATGTCCACAGACTCGAGCCACTTGAGTAACAAGTCAACACCAGGAAGCGCGAAAAACTAAGGGGAAAATAAAAAAAATTAACAGAAACGCATTTACAAATCAATTCATCTCTTCCTTTCTTCTATCAATAGCACAACCTCATAATTTTCAGGATTTCAAGCAAGAGTCGCCTCACAACCGTAATGAACTTGGAAAAATGTAACCCAGCCAAGCCCGAGTTTTCCAAACAAATATAAAATTCAACAAGAAATCTTGTAACTTCTCCTCGAGGTATGCCTTGAAGTAATTTTTCAAATGAGGTTACGAAAAATTAATTTGAGACGTCAGCCCAAATTTTGCTAGCTCAAAATCTCTTAATTTTTGAAAGTTGGATCAAGACTGAACCCAGAACTGTTCCTACTTTCTAAAGCGACCAAAATGTTATTCAGAATGTCAAACAATCAAAATACAGGTGGACTCTCTCTAAAACGAAATTCAAGGGACCGGAAAAAAATCGTTGCAGAGAACCTTCATAACACGGTGAAGGAAACCCATTTTCAACAGCAAAAGTTTCTGAAATTTGTGTCGTGCGATAAAAGAGCTTCAGGCTGAATCGCATTTTCAAAAATAAAAACACCGCAACAAATTTACCGAGCCTAACCCAATAAAAGCTTTCTTTAAAATGCAGGCGACATCTATGTACCGACGACAACAACAAAATCCCAAGGTTTTTTAAAGTTCACGTTTAAAAATAATCCCCATATCTCTTCTCTTTTCTCGTTCTTAAATGAAGGTTTAAAAAAAAGTGTGTAAACCTTGGATAAATAAACGTAGCATTGCGGACTCTGGTTGTAGATGGCAAACGCCAAAACCACGTCCGACGTGGTGAACATCTTCTTCTTGTCGGCCTTGCAATTCCTCATTTGCGAGTTGAAAAACTCGGCAGCGACGTCGTTCATCATGTCGTGAAGCATGTCCGACAGCAAGGTAGCCTCGTTGTTGGCCTCTTCCTCAGTCACCGAGGACATCTTGTTGGACAGCGCTGACACCTTGCTGGCCAGGGTCTTGAGGGACTCGGCGTAAAGCTCGTTGGACTTGGTGAGTTCTTCGTTGGCCGACTTGAGAGCGGCTTTCTCGGCAAGCAGAGTTTCCATCGTCGGCCCCACTTCCGTGTAATCACAGTAATCCACCTGTTTAGTAAAAGGGACGGACACACGTGATCAACCAACTCGAAAAACGTGTCTTTTTTGTGTTTTTGGTGGAAAATGCGAAATTCTCGTGAGGAAAAATGAATAAATTCAAAGTACTGTAATAAAGAATGATTCCTAATTACTGTTAACTGATGCAAAAGCTTTTCTCATTATCTTTGCGAATGAGATCATGAGCAATCCAGAAAAATTACCCTCGTTCTCTTGGCCACAATGGCGGGGGACTTGGAACCTTCAGCAGCAGACAAGTTTCTCTTCACCCCAGCATACGTCTTCCTTTCCCTAGGAACAGTCGTCGTAGACGTGGGACCGGCAATCAGATCCGGTTCTACCTTCACCACAACGAGTTCATCTCTGGTGGTTCCGGTGTCGTCACCATCTTCCGGGGAATCTTCTTCCGCATCCGCATTCTCCCCTGCCTCGAGTACTTTTTGAAACGCGTCGAGTTCCTCGAGCAACTCGTTGGCGGATTTCAATTTCACGCGTCTTTCCGAATCCGATTCTTCGCCGTCCGCTTGACTAGTTTTTCTACGTTTCGGAAGACCCGAAGAGTCCTCTCCTCTTTCGGGCATTGCAAAAATTATCAAAAAAAAAAAAAAAACTATGCAGGAAGGGATATTATTCCTTCTACAAGAGGCAGGCTTCTGAAAGTAAGAGGACACAAAAGCATCACTGAATGGCTCATGAAAACTGCTCCGAACATCAAGCAAAGTACGTCCCGCATTTACGCTCGCACACGATGCCATTGATTTCACGACGCATTTTGACTTCTTTACCACTTTGGAAAAAAAAAAAAAAAAAAAAAAAAAAAAAAATTTGAAAATTTTTAAGAGAGGCACAAAAAGCCACCCTATGCTCGAATAAATAAAAAAGCAACTGCTTACAAAGTTCCAGCTTACAGACATTACATTAGAACCTTGCATACCCCATTTGACAAACACCAACTGAGTTAGCTCAATAAAAAAAAAAAAGAGTTTTGAAAATTTTGTCACGTACTCCTTGAAAAGCACCAACATTTTATATGCCACATCTTAGATAAATTTTATTTTAATTTTAGCTCAAGTGAAAGTAAAAAAAAAGCAAGGGTACGACAAATGTTGAGAAGGGAAAAGTGCAACATTTGTGAGCAGTTGGGACTTCGTTTTCATCTGTTTTTCAACTCAACCTCAGTTGTAGAAATAATTCTAGCGAGCTTAGGAAAATTCAATCATCATTTCGTCCAAAAAATGAATGAGCGTCTCAAGTTCGCGTAAATGCAGAACATGGTCGGTCCTCTTGATCCCACGATCATCTTCTTCTTCTTCCCCAACCCTCAAGACGAAAAAATAAATGAACATCAACGTCATTAGCAAAAAAATAGTAGTTTATAAAATTAGCCCAGCGGAAAATTGTTTCTCCTTCCTCCAGTCTACAAGGAAGAAGTGATGTCAGCCACAGCAGCAGCCAGGGCATCATACGACTCGAGATCACCGTCCCTGTGTTCTTCATCCTCTTCTCCAACTTCCTCTTCTTCGTTGTCTCCAATGATTTCTTCCACAGCGTGTTCGTCTTCGGCTTGAATCACGAATTCCGTGGCGTCCGCCGACGGCTCCGAACTGTCCGCGTAGTATTCCAACGACTGGCCGACGATATGATGCTGGTCTTCTTCCTGGTCTTCGGGTAGACTTTCTTTGATATCTTCTTCCTCTTGGTCTTCTTCGACTGAAAAATTTTACAACTGGAGTCAAACACACAGGCCCTCTTTAAATTACAGTATTAGAAACTCGAAAAAAAAAAATATAAATGCAGGAAACTAAGCTTCGATTTCCAGACTCGAAGCATCAAAAACTTCTGAGTAAAAAATAGTCGTCTCTTTCCCCCAACAGGACCATTTAAATCATGCTGAAATGCCAGAATATGAAATCACCTTCTTCCATCTCTTCACCCACGTCCTCATCCTCCAGAGAAACCGAATTTTGGAGCTTCATCGACTTCGGTTGCTCGAGAAAGACTAGGTGGTTGGGGTCTGCAATTTTCTGCATTTCCTGACAGGAGAAATCACCAGATTTGCTGGCCAAACAGCCCAGAATTGAGTTTTCGAACATTTTCAAGTCCAGCTGCACTCCCGGTTTCACCTCCACTTTGTCCAGCCACCTAAAAGAAAAATGTGAAGTGGACTCTGAAGTCTCCACATGCTTCCAGCACAACATTGAATCTTGAACTGGAATTCCAGCACTAGCCTTAATTTAGGTAAGCAGAAAAATAAATGAAGCCCATGGTTAATTTGCTGAGTTTTGCATGCTATAAATTTTCCACACAGGCCTACCCTAGTTTTTGGGAGAGACATCTATATGAAAACATAGGAAACACGAAAGCAGCGGACGCTTACTTGCAGAACATTCTCCAATTATTCTACGTTTACTCAAGTAGAAACAGAAAAAGGAACAAAACGGGAAAAAATCCTCATACATGTACGTGCTTCAATTTTGTTCGTCTGCAGTATACTAAAACAAGTATAACTTCGAAATAAAAACGAGGTTCGCTTTAAAAAAAAAGTGAAAGGTAATGGTTTTAAAATACTGCACAGAGTACACGGTACTGCAGTACAACTTTTTTCAATCAACCTGTTGAGCGATTCCAAGGGCGGCAAAGCGACGACCTTGGACAGGTACAAATAAGCGTGTGGACTCTGGAGGTAGATGGTGAAGGCAAACAGGAAATCATTGTCCAGCCAGCGTCGGGAGCCCTCAGTTCGCGTGTTGTTGCGGAATTGGCAAGCAAAAAAATTGGCCACGACTGGCGTCATGTACCGCGCACATTTCGCCATGATAGTCTCCGCTGTCTTGGCAGTTTTAGTGCCACCACCTTGAAAAAAAAAATGCAATAAATAAAAATAAAAGATGATCAATTCCCCCTCTTCCTTTGGTTTTTTTTTTTACTCACCAGCTCCAACATAAGCGGCGGAGGATTCAGACGCATAAGGGCCGACTCTTTTCAACACAGATTCTGCCCTTTCTTCGGCAATTTCGCACTTTTTTCTCAACTGGTCGTTGAGAATCAACAGCCGCTCGTGTTGCTTGCGCAGGTCGTCCAATGTCTGGGTCGCCATCGCCCTTGACAGCGCACTGAGATCATCCTTCACGCCTGACTTGGGCAGGGCATCCACAGTCTTGGTCACCTTGGGGAGGAAAAAGTAAATACATATCCATTATAAAGTGATCAAAACTTTTGAACAAATTAGTAGATGTCGCTGGCAGTCAATTCCGTATACTGTCCAATATTTACTCAAGTACCATAAGCAAGTTTTCTTCTGGAAAATCAAGGCAGAAAAATTGGGTGCACATGGTACGCAAGAATAATATTCTGAAGAGAAAAAAAAATCATGAACAATATTGGTGTAAGTTAGAGGTTAGTCTTAGGTGGAAAAATGGATGGAAAATTATATTTGACACCATTCCTGATTCAATTCTTTCTGTTATTTGATTAAATTACAGAACTGTATAAAGGTATTTTGTAAAAAATTATTACCCTATTCACTCAAGTACAAGGCACTTTTGATCTCAAAATTGGGAGGGAAAGGGAGATGTGCAAAATAGGCAAGTATACAATTTTTCAAAAAGTCTTGGAACTTCAGGTGTGCATCACAGTTCATCATAAAGGAAAATTTTCTTACCAATTCTATCAGAAAAACTTATTTTTGTAAAAAAAATATAATTATTTGAATTCAGGTTCAATTCATGTCAAAACTCCAGTCAGGGCACTCTCATGTTTTTTGCAGTTTTAGGGTCACTGAAAATGGGGTGAATGGCTTACTCAAGAATACAATTTAAACCAAATTTTAGACAGAAAAGCCTGGGAGAACATCTTGCTTGAGGGTGCATGGTACTTGAATAAATACAGTAGAGTACCGGTATTTAATGAAAAAATTTTCATTTTGCCACAAAAAGAACTGGATGTGGGTCCTATACATTGATATAGGGATAGGTTTTTGAGCAAATTATGGACCATAAAATAAAAGTTTAACTGAAAGGTGAATGGTACTTGAGTAAACACAGCGTTCACTGCACACAAACCATTTCTTCAGCATCATGACCAGCATAATTGAAAATATGTTCACAAAATGATGCGAAATATATATTCTTTTTCTTCTTCAACCAACTTTTCCCATTTTTCGCAAAATTACTATGTATTTCACTCTCAACTTTGAATATTGAACACTGAAGAACATATGATGGGCACTCCCATGAAAAATAAAAAAAAAAGATTACCTTGACAACACGAACTACATTGGCATCCGGGTTTGCTGCCATGAGCTTCTCCAGGGCTGAGCGAATGGAAGGATCTTCCATAGTGACGCCCTTCGGAAGGATCACCTTGGTCCTTTTCACATTGGGCGGAGGCTCAGGCCCTGGACTCTCTTCTCGACTCACTCGTTTCATCTGAAAGTAAGCCGTTTCCTTCTCAAACACGAATGAATGACGGACCGTCTTCTTTCAACACCTGGCCTCAGCAATACGCGATTTAAATTTGTTCCCTATGACATACATGTCGACGGAATTGTAGTACAGTACTGTACATGCAGTACATCATGTTCTGGCCAGTGATACGATAATTAACTTTTCAATCTGGCTTCGGCACGCTTTCAACAAAAGTTGGGAGAAATAATAAATTCGACACTCGGGCTAATGAACACACGAATTTCGCTACAGAAAACTACTGAATAATGAATTAAATAAATGAAATACTTCATTCATAGAATACAAAAAAAGTCAGTCATGCGAATACAGACGGTAATCCAACTTTCAAGGAGCATTGGCTTTGACGTTCATCATACAAATTAAAAAAATTCAGTACAGGCACATTTTTCCTTCCACTGGAAGCAATGTAGTGTACTTAATTAAAGCCCGGTTAATTGAAACGACTTATTATGTACAATATTAATCTTAATATTAAGTTAATATAATATTAATCTCAATATATATACAGAAATATTAATCTTGATGGATTCAAGGGGATTTATAGAATTCAGATGTTTTTTTTTTAATTAATAACGGAGCACAGGAAAAGAGAAAAACTACCAATTCACAAGAATCGTTCAGGTCGATGATTCAGGCGACACCCATCTCCCTTTTTTTTTCGAAGCAAGGTCAGACAATCCCGTGAGAATAAATCAACATAAATAACGCACTCACCCTTGTAGGAAGCGTCAACACCTCAACAACACATGACAATTCATTCAAAAGGCTTCCTGGAGACGAAAGAACACATCTGAATATTTCGCACATGTGCCAAACATCAACAAAATCACGAGAAACCATCAACAAATTGGGTTTATGCATCGCTTGCTTAAAATCGAAGGACTTCTAACACTTCCTTCCTTGCCATCTTCTAAAGCGAAAAATGAAGCAATTTCTTGCCACTCATCCAAAAAAAACAATCAATCAATCAATAATGAAAGATACTCGCAGGAGAGAAATAAACGAAGCGAGCGACTCGCATACAGTCGTAATTCTTTCAAATCGCCCCAATTCCAACATAAGCACAAGTAAGATTCCCAATAAATATCCTCTGCACACTCACGTGTACTTAAATCCAAACAGAAAACTTTCCATACTTCTCGGGGGAATTTTGCTGGAACTTTACAGAGACTAGCAACAAAAAAATAAACGGAAATCGTCCGCAGATTTAATCTAAAAAAAAAAAAACCACAAAGAAAAACTTTCCCGAGGTGATATTTTTGGAATGGCTCTTCTTCCTCTTCGCTGCTCAGTTTCTCACTAGCAATTCGTAGATTTGTTGCACACCCGGAATCACATCTGCTGCTCTCGATTTCAATGATAACTGCAACAAGAAAATAGAGGAAACAAATGAATAAAAAGATTTAAAAAAACATGATAACACACAACTGCTCGTTCCCTGGAGAACCAATCGCTTTTTCCAGTGCCTCACTTTCATCATTATCAGGTAAAAATAAACTCTCGATCGATTTTCATTTCACTCACAATAGCTTCACTCGTCCCAGGCTTGATTTTCAACTCGGCCAAAACCCAAATTCCATTCGGGAATTTCCCAGACTGATACAGAAGATCTTGGCCTTCCACCGTCCACTTGGCAATCGTGAAAATGTTGTTCTCTTGCAACTTTGCAGAGACTCCGTCTACGATTAAATCAGAATATTTATATTTAATGTTTTCCAATGTCGATGGATATTCATTCTCTCAATTTACCTGGAGTCAAATTGAAGTCGGGAATTGTAACTTGAACCTCTGCACTCGCCGGGATATCTTTCCAAGTGGCCAAGAAAACCTTCCTGTCCATTTGTCCATCCTCAGTCAAGTAAACGTGCATCGGGACGAGAGCAGCAAAGTAAAACACGTCCACATTGTTCTTCAAGGCAACCTGCGAGAAACGTAATAATGCGTCAAAACACTTTATCCTGAAAGCCGAAGTTAGTTTTAGCGAAAAATCCTTCGCATCGCACAAAACCAGTTATTGTTAATACAAAATTCAACAGGATTTTAATCCCATCAGTGTTTACAAAACTTTTTCATTATTTCTTCCTGCTCCAAGGAAGAGAATTCTATTATTCACAAATTTACAATTTTCGTAACGAATTCTACACGCTGCCAGCCAACGAATCAATTTTGACTCGTACTTGAGCGGATTTTCCTTTTTCAAATTTTTTTCTGGCTTTTTCAATAAATTACTCATCAGGATCTGCCAAATTAATAATACAGGCAAAATCAACCGAATATCTAACGGATTCAACACCCTAATTACGTGTTTATGAACGATCATCTCGCTGAACATTCCGGCGTGAGTCCATCACAGAACGATTTTCAACTCATTCAACTCATCTCCGGATTTTATATCCCGACATTTTCTTTGTCGAAGGATGAGGCCATTCTTGAGCAGATTCAAGTATACTATGTTTGCCTTTTGTTCTTCTCCATCCCTCTTCTCTTTTCTCAATTCGATTCAAAACTCACTGGCTTCGAGGAAAAATCTTAATCTTTTGCTTTTCCTATGAAGCATGACAGCAAAGGTATACCAGCAAAACGAAAACAATTGAAAATAAAAATAATTTTAGTAAAATCTTGTTTAACAAACTTTTCGGGGACTGCAGAGAAAATTTGTTATAATCAATAATTTTTATGAGAAAAATTTCAAGATTAATGACTTTAAAAAATGTTTTCATCATACCTGCCTTTGATCAATTAAATCTTTTTTTCTGGCATTCTAAGATTTCTTTTAAATATTGTTCGAAAACCAAGTAATCTTCTTGAGAAAACAGTCATGCATTCCAAAAGTTGCACCAATATCTTCATTCTGGGAGGATGATGAGTGGAACCACTTAATTGGAAGCATTTTTGTCATTAATTACAGCTTCTGTCCATGCTACAATAATAACCAGTCAGACACATTTATGATCAGAAATTTCAGACTGTGCCTGCCTTTGCCAGGAAATTTCTAATTTCTTCCTGCCACATAAATGTACAATACTACGAAATATATTTAAAAATAAGAAAATATCATTTTCATGTTATTCATGCTTGTTGCAACATAAGTTTTCACTGTAACTAGTCGGAAGTTCTTCAAGACGGGAAGAAAGGGAGAAGAGAGCAGGACAAACACAGACCTGCAAGTTGTTGATGGGATCCATTTTCATGACGGGGCCAGCACCGGCACTCAACGGAAGCGAGACTTCCTGCACAGAGTTGGGCAACAGCGGAGCGTTCATCACGAGAGGCGCAGCAGGAAGAAGCCCAAACGAGTTCTTGTTGAACTGGATGGCAAATCCAGACATGGGCTGCATGGCCCGGTTGGTCAGCGTCAACTCCATCACGACTTCCCCGCGACGACGGGCAAAAGTGCCCGACACCTCGAGGCCTTTGCCTTTGGCAGCCGGAACCCAAACCTGTCATCACACGACAAAATGGGGAAATTGAATGTTTTTAACGAGCGGCATTTGTCACGAGTCCTTTCTTTGTTTCTTTGTAATTCAGTATTGTACAGTATTACATGATTGGCAGAAAAAAAATAATAATAGAGGGCGATGTCAAAAAATATGCATAAAGTACAGAACTTCGCTGTCCGCGAGACCAAAAACTCGCTTCAACGTGGGTAGATGTCACTGTCAGCTACAATGGTGTCATATGTCTTTACGCAGATCGATCAAACGTTGTTTTAGTTTTATCTTCTAAAGGCGATTTCAGGTGGAATTTTGGAAGAATAATGCTGAAAAATGCATGCTTTACTTTCGTCTTCTGCTTAAAAAAATATACCTCTTCACCCATAAAATTAAAATATACTTGAAAAGCGGCACACAAAGAAGAAACTGGCTTTTTACACTGCGCAATACCGCGCTTGAACATTTCAATACAGGCCGACTCTCTTTACGACGAATTTTGCTTTGGTTCCATAAGGTTTTCTCCACATGTTGAAGTGTTCTCTGAGGCGAATTTTACTTTTCTTGTCCCTTGCATTTCATTGTAGAGAGGGAGTCCGCCTGCATTAGAAGTGCACTGCATACCTGCTTAGGCGGGACATAAGCCGTGGGAACAGCGGGAGTGCCAAACACATCACCCAGCAACCCAGAGGCAGATGCTACAGGCACCCCAAAACCCGCCAATCCACTGGGAGCTGGGGCAGGAGGCCCTGCAGGTGCTCCAAACGCATCTCCTCCCATCTGTCAAGAAATTCCAACATACATTCACTCGGTCTTCACAAAAAATTACCAGACAATGGAAGAAAAAAATAAATAACTCACCAAACTGTCCAAACCGCCGCCAAAGATGTCCACCGGGGCATTGGGAGCAGGCTCGGCGACACCAGACATGGGCGCCCCGAGGTCCAGACCCAACAAGTCGCCAATGAGTGAGTCCTGGTTCGGGATGACAGTTGACACAGGAGCTGTGGGCTCCCCGCTGCCGCCACTGCTGGTCGCAGGCGTCGACCGCCTCGAGCCCACAACTCGGTTGAGTTGGGCGCCTTCCACAAAGGCAGACGGCGGCTTGTGGTACACTGACGCCAGCGATGCCAAGTGCACAACGAGCTCATCTGCAAAAAGGTCAACAGGAAATTCAATCAAACCTTCGAAGTTGATCGCGTGTTTTTTTTTTTTATCACAGCAGGTTCAAGGCAATCTATTCTGAATTTTTTTCCATGCGGAATTTTTGCAATAATAAAATAATATCACAGCAGGTTCAAGGCAATCTATTCTGAATTTTTTTTCCATGCGGAATTTTTGCAATAATAAAATAAAGTAAAATTATCTTCCCTTCAATTAAGATGGACAAAGATGTAATCTGTTTTATTAGATAAATCTTAAAAGCCTCTTCATTTCTGTGAACTAAAATTATAAAATTTCAATCATAAAAAAGATTATCAAGAAATTCAATAATTGTTGAAGTTTTTCCTTTTTTCTTTTACAGAATACTTCATTTACATAAACTTCTTCATTTACATAAACAAATTCAGAAGCTAAGAAAGCAAAACTTCCCGAATTCGTGCATTTTTTTTTCTTGCAAAAACTTAGGCAATTTTCTTATTTATCAAGTGTGCACTCTAGTTTAGGTTTGAGTTGTTGGGCGAAAGAATAAGTTGGCCACTTCTCATCAGTCAATTGAGTCACCATTGTTGATTTTATTGGACTATTTTTCACGGAAAAAGTGAAAAAAGGCAATGGTTCCGCAGCGTAATAACGTACCCAAGAGAGTGGGTTCGAGTTTGTCAGTCTCCTCAGAAATGAGTGGCTTCTCAGCAAGCACAACTTCTCTGGCAGCTGCCGGGTCCGTCGACAACAATCTCCAGTAAATGAAACCTCGATCCCTCAAATCCGGGTTATCCGAGTCCTGAGTAGCCAGACTCAACACTTGCTGCACCAGTTCCTGCGTATCTGCCGGCTTCTTCAAAAACAGCTGCAAAGGAAAATCATCGAGAAATTTAAAACTTTGATCAGAATACAGTAATGTATACGAGGGGTCAGACAAAAGTTCTGTACATGATTGAACTAAAAACCAGTATTGTTCAGAACAAATAATCTTTGAGCCAAGAAAAACAAATTCAGCCCTGTTTCTCATACTTTTTTGGAAAAAGTCTCCCTGTTATCTTTCTGCTCTTCACGCAATAAATGAGGCGCCCATTTTGCAGATTTTTCGGTTTACCCCATCATAAAATTGACAAGGGCTTCAATGCCAAAGCTTGTCTCCAGGTCTTAACGTCATTTCTTCACTTTCATGTCAACAGCCGACACATTCACATCCCAAGTGGCGGCTGTTCAAGAAAATGACGGAATTTATAATTAATTAACGGCGGCAACCCTCGGAATTATGTCAATTTCAAGAATTCTGAAGAGGAAAGCTGGGCAACACAAAAACATCTGCGAGATGGGCGCCTCACTTACTGAGTGAAAAGCAGAAAGATCCCACGGTGACTTGAAAACATTTTCTGAAAAATTGTCGAATACGACTGAATTATTTTTTTTTCCGTGCCAAAAAAAATGTTTTTTTCTGAACAATACTTGCTTTTCAGCTCAATCATACGCCGTTAAAATTTCTCAGATCATTTGTTAGACCACCCCTCGCACATCACACATTAAGAAGGAGAAGAAAGAAGAAAAAACACGAACCTTGACAATGGCAGTGAGAAGCTGGAGCTGAACTTGGGCATTCTCATCAGAGAAGCTAGACAAGAAGGACTCGAGCAACTCGTCGGCATTGTTGATTCTCTCAGCGTACTCGCCGATGATCCAAATCATGGACGCCCTGGCTTCCGGCTCGTCCAAAGTGTCCAGGTTCTCACACAGCGTGGAAATGATGCTCTCGTACTTGTTGGGGTACTTGCGGAAAATGTCCTTGATGACAACCACGGCTTCTTGCACGACATAGTTCACCTTGGTCTGGATCAGGTCCAACAAAGTGGCAACGCACTTTTCCGCCGACGTCTCCACTTTAATGGCACACCGTCCAATGGCACGCACGGATTTCCGCACAAAATCCACATCCACTTCCGTCGCGTACTCTTTCAATTCCGCAAGCACTTGTGCAATGTTGGACCCGTTGGCGAGTCTGATCATGATGTCCAGCTTCTCCAGCTTGACGTAAATCGGATCGTTGTACTTGACGAAGAAGACTTTCATCTCGTTTTTCAAAATGTCCGGTCTGCGTTGGACAATCAGGTTGATGTTGCGAAGGGCAACGTATTGCACTTCGGGCTCCGACGAAAGCAGCGTCACGAGGGGAGGAGACAACTTTTTCAGCAGTGTTGCCACGAATTCCGAGTCCATGTTGGTAGTTTCCACCAGCCTCATAAGTACCTAGATTTCCCCCAACAAAACGAAGAATTGATTATACCGTACAAGACAATGACACTCACTCGACAGGGAGGTTGGACCAATAAATTCAAATCATTCACTCGGCAGAAAGAGGAAGAATTCCGCCACCACGAAGTAATTTTCCATAATGTCTTGATGAAAAGATTTTCTTCTCTAGGTTCCAATGGCTTCGTTCTACAGTAATGAGAACCTACCTCGATGAAGGCTTGTGCAAATTGAATGTCTCAATATTTCAATCGAAACCTCTTCAAGTCAAAATTCAAGGGACCAGCGCAAAATTCAAATTGGGGAAGTTTCGCGTCAGGGAAACAAGTATTTTTTGGGAAACAGCCAAAAGGCTTCCAGAATATTCGAGTTATGAACATATGAGGGGGAAAATTCTCGAATTCGGGAGGTTGTCAATTTTCAGTCTTTCGCGGAATTAAAGAGAGGAACATGAAAAAATGGGGAAGTTTAGTCATCGAGGTTCAATAATATTAATTAAAGGTTGATTCAAGAGAAAAAGGAACGATAAATACTCACTTTAATGGCAGAGAGAACAACCGCAGCATTGGCGTGGGCTAATCGCGGAGTGACCCTTTCGCAAATGCTCTGAGCTTCCTTGTCATCCCTCGGATTGTAATTTGTAAGAGCATCCAGAATGAACACTTGGCCCCATTCCGTGCACTCATTCAGAGCTGTCAGAAGCTTGTTGACAGTCTGTGCAGTCATGTCCATCAATGGCTGAACTGTTGCACTGGTCTCGTTAATCTCAGCCAGGGCTGCAACGGCATTCGCCACAACCATAGGGTTTGAGTCAGACAGCAAGTCTTTCAATTGGTCTAGGAATCCTTGGTCTTCGACAAGAGACGCGTTGATGTCGTGCAACTTTGCAACACACACAGCAGCTGTTTTTCTCACATACGGGTCTTCATCGCGGAGACACTTTCTGAGAGGTTCGCAGAGATATTCGGTGATCTTTTCAACCCTAATGCATCCCATGGTGCGAACAGCCAGGGCCCTGATCAAAGGATTCGGATCTTCGCAGTCTTTCACGAAAGTATTCACAGCCATGATGGCCATGTCGGGTTGTGATTTCGCATAGTTCATCAAGTACAAATACACCAACTTCTTCAGTTCCAGGTTATCCGTTTGCATGCAGTTCACAACATCGGGGAACAGAGCGGAAACATCTTTCCCGACTGTCATCGATGCGATCACCTGGGGATAATTTATAAATTTTCTTTGATAAAACGAACACTTCAGAACATCTCACATTCCTTGAGACACGTTCAGATGCGTACGTACCTTCTTTACGGCCTCCTTCTTCTTCTCTTTCTTGTCACTGTTGAGCTCACCCTTTAGCTCAAAGATTTCCCCCTTCTTCGTGGTCGAAAAGTACTTCGAATCTGTCATTTTCGCCGGTGACTACTGGATAACACAACTCAACACGAAGGCTAGAATTTGATGCGACCCGAGAGATTTCGTCTCTGATCGTTGATTCTGAAATGAGACCAACAATTAGAACACACTCCTCGTCTCACCTTTTCAACACCAACACTAATTCCAAACTGATTTCTGCGAGAAGAACTCATCATAAATTTATGATTGCCATTTTCGGTGGAAAAACCCAGTCACGCCGCAACGCACTGCTTCTCTCGCCCCGCGGAAGTACGACAGATGTACAGTAGAAACGAGGCTTCCGTGCCGAACAGTGACGAAATAACGTGCTCCTGAGCATATTTATGTGGAATTTCAGAATACTTCCTTTATCACGGAAGAAAACTGTGACTGAGGAGGTAAGTGTTATTTTACGTTGTTGAATAAAATTTCAGATTTCAAAACTTTTCTAAAAGAGAAGTAAGGAAAGGTGACGGCGTATCGTTTCGGAGGCATTGTGCGGTATCGCGCATGTTCCCCTGAAGGAGGGGGGATCGCGTTATGGATTTTCGCCGCTCTCGCATAGCGCTTAACTAGTCCCGGGACAAGGGAATACAGGGCGGGAAATGCCGCTGCCTGGAGACAGTTGGACGCGGGTCGTCATAGTGGAAGGGTGTGTCTGCGTCGTACTCGGCAAGCGCCGTGATCATAAAATATGTGATGCCTTGCAATCGCATTTCTGTTGCCTTGTGTAATTGTGTGGGTTCTTTCATCACAGCAAGAGTTCCACTGCTGTGTTCGCTATCTTCTTCGATTGTATCGTTGTAATTTGGTGCGCTTGTGTGTTTTCATTTTTGCCGGAAGGAAGTATGAACTCGGGAAGCCGTTCCGCAATGGCCGCTGCTATTTCCGGTGCTCGGGAGTGTCCGGACTCCCCGTTTATTTTTTCCCCCACACCCCGGTTCAGTTGTGATCAGTTTTGAATGCTCCCATCCCTGGGGTTTCACCGGAAACTTCCCTTCCTACGGGAGGCCGGACGGGCTTCGCCACAGGACGCGAGTCCAGCGTTGCCAACTCCCGAAATTTTATATTTTGCTTCAGTGTGTAGGATTCCGCCATTTTACGCTCGATGAATTTGAATCCATTGATGATTGCTGTTTTTTCATTGGGATCCTAAAAGTTGTTCTGTCACTGTTTTGAAGTGCCTTGTGGGTTTTTGAAAGTTGGATGGCCCAACTTCACGCAATTATCGGAATAGGGGAAAGGTACATGGTGAAGCCACGTAGTGGGATAATGGATCTTTTAACGGTTATAGTAATCCGAGTTCCCCTATAGGGTTGAGTATGTTGGCGCATATGCAACCAGGAAGTTCCAAGCTTGTAAATCAGTACCTAACGCAATGGTGCAGTCATTTCAACCATCTGCTGATAGCGAGGGGAATCTTTATTGCTTGAGAGTCGGTTGAAATACGTTATTCTTTATGCCAAGAAGGCTGTCGAATCTGAAAGTTGGGAAAGCAACGACGGAAAATGTGGGGTTGGCAGGGCTGGGCGCGCGGCATCCCTTGGTAGAAGACGCGGTCCCTCCCGGCCTATGCCCGCAGCGGGAGAGGGTGCTGCAGCGCTCGATGGTCCGGCGGCTATTTTCGGCGAACCTGTGGGAATCGGAAGGGACCTCGTTTTCCCGACTCGATGTGTCTGTCCGTCGGTCCCCCCGGCTGCGGCGCGCGCACTTTTCCGCCGCCCTTTTCTTCCTCTCGTTTTCTCTGTCTCCCTTCTCTCTATACCACCCTTGTCAGTCTCCGCCGGAGCAGCGTCAGTAAATGTATGTGTGTGTATGTCGTACGTGTACCTGAGCCAGTGTCGGAGTGCTGGAAAGCGTACGTTGGGCGTGAAAGACATGGGTAGTGAGATGAGGTTTCTAGTCCGGCCATCTCACTACCTTGTCTTTCATGCGCGGGTGCGCCATCTTACGTTTTCCTCTCTTGTCTCGTCCTTTGCGCGCGTCATTTTTGCGTGGACCATTATGACTATGTGTTGTTTATTGTGTAGCAATTTGTACGTTTGGTGACGAATCGAGTCGTCTCCGTCTCTCACATGTCCTGGCCGTCAATTCGGTGGTGTTATGCGGATTGTTGAGCGTTCATATCACAGCCGTAATTGACGAGTTGGGAACTGAGATGTCGCCGGTGTGCTTGGGTTGGGTTGTCGAAGGGTTTTTTGCGGGTGTTTGAGCCTCTCTGCTCTCAAAGGGGCTGTCGTATGTTGCGTGGGTCATATCACAGCCAGCTTTGATGAGCGGAGCAGATCAGACCGTGCGCGTGGACTACGTCAGTCGAGGGAGGCCGTGCGAGTCAGTTGCTGATGAGGATTTTTTGACGCAATGTCGAGTGCGGAGTTGACGTGAAAGACATGGGTAGTGAGATGGAGTTTGCGTCTCACTACTTTGTCTTTCATGCAGACGCGCGCCGCTTCTTCTGTGTCCAGCTCTTTGTACATCGTCCATGTTTGAGCCTCTCTGCTCTCAAAGGGGCTGTCTTATGTGGATGCAGGTGGTCATATCACAGCCAGCTTTGATGAGCGGAGCAGATCGAACCATGAAAATCCGCAACATTCATGAGACCCGTTGGAATTCCCGGACTATTGTTTCGATTTTTGTTTATTCTTGTGTGGGAGAAGAAAACCTCTGCTTTCATCAAAGTGGATGTGATTTGTGTTACATTAGTCATCATATCACAGCCAGCTTTGATGAGCGTGGTGGATTTCGGTCCCCGAATGCCGGTTTTTTTTGTGTTTATATGTGTTTTTTTTTATGTGCATGATCGTTGGTTCATTTATTGTGTCTGCAAGTAAATGAGAACAATGTGCTTGTCAAGCTGTAAAATACAGCACGATCTTTTCATTTGCTCCCATTAACCGCATAACATAGTACAATATACCAATTGATTACTCCGAACTGCGCAAGAACTTAACGGTATCCTGAATGCTTTTTTCACCTCATAGAATGTAAGTTCCTTCGACGCTTGGTTAAATCAGGTAAGTTTCGTTGTCGGGATCAGGTCCAATATCAACTTCTGCACCTCTTTGAACTTGGGATGGTTCTTGGACTTGAGTAACTTGAAAATCACAGTTTCGTGCGTGGAAATGAAACATCCAATCTGCCTCATCCTCTGGTTAAAATTTGAGGAAGGCGGCCATCAGATTAGGAGACTATCAATTGAGATTCAATATTGACAAACCTCAAAAGCCAATAGCCTATCATCTTGTCTCCTGGAAGATGTAGCGTCCGCCACAACATGTACTTGTAATCCTTTCGCCCTCAAATCCACAGCTGTGGCTTCCACGCAAACATGACTCTGCAAAACAGACAAATGATATTTGTGATCATGACAACGAATGGGCTCCAGGGGATTGAAAAAGTAATCAAAACGCGTACATTCATATTATAACTAGAATAGCACACAATACAGATAATACCCACATTATATCAAGGAAACTACTGTAGCTGGACAAAGCTTCTCTAATGTTACACAGTATAGTATATATGAGAAGAAGTGGCATGAACCATCAGGCAACTTTTCGGGAAATAATTTGCACAACACTATTCAGATGTCTCAAAAAGAATTTAGTTCATCGAAATANGACGAGTTACTGATGGAAAATCAACTGAACGTTCACTGTGCAACACAAAGCAGTAATTCCCACTGTATCTTTGCGAAGTACTCTGAATAAAAGATCAAGTAGACTGGCTCTACAATGATATTCTTTGTTGAACACATTCCTGGTCTCCAGAATTTTAATGCAGGGAGACATCTACCTATGGTAGGCAAGGTAGAAAGCCTGGCACATGACATTCACCATCAGGAACAAATGTTACCTCAAGACCAAACAGCACAACAGACTCCACATCGCCACCACAAACTCTGCTTAGTCCAGCTTCCACTCCAGGTACAAGCATGGAGAAATCCACTTTTGGGAATATACCCAGTGCACTCTCAATGGGAAGCTCCTCATCTGTGCTCCCCAACTTGTCTGGATACTGCTCTGTGACCAGAAGTGGTATGTCCAACAAACTTGCAGCTTGGACCTATAACCAGAGTCATCCATTAATTACATTTCATCATAACCAAAATCTGCCACGGTAAAGCTATTTGAATGTCCAGCGCTGAAGGTAATTCTGCTTTTACAATACAGTACAGTTGCATCTCTTCAAGTCAAACTCAAAGGGACAAAAAATAAACTTGGGGAAAAGAAACAACAAATACAGGTAATTGCAGTTTGTGATATTATAAGCCTTGAATTGCTTCTTAAATGAGTCAACAGGATTCTGAACTCAAAGGAGGCCAGGGTTTATGTATCCAATTAGTCTTTCACTTCCTTCCAAAACACATGGAGTTACGCACCTTTCATGCTTCCATCTCCTTAATTCCTGCATCAATAACATAGCAGCCAGAATGCCTACAGCAGAAAATTTAATTTCTGTAGGGCTTGAGAATTTGACTTATGGTGGCTTTTATGCACTATTTCAAAGGGAATTCAGACAGGGACTCAATACAAATTTGACACTGCTGGGATGTATTTGAGAAGAAGAAAAAATGACTTTCAAGTATACACACCAGCCTTTTTGCAGCCTGAAGAATCTCATCAGCACTGATGGCCACTTTCAGTAATCTGGTCTGCATATCACAGACCATGAACACAGTTTTTGTCTCATCCAACGCACCCAGAGCAGCCATTTTACGAACAGGCTCTGCTCAAAACATAGCCCTGCTCCCCAAGGAAAAGCCAAACAAAACAAAAAAACCATTCTCACCATGATAGTTCAAAAATTTTCACTGAAGGTTATTGTTTCGAATCATGGAAAACAAAATTCCAACAGCCATGAGCAAGAGTGTCAAGGTCGCATCCAATGATTTCAACATAAAATTTTCAGGAATTGGAATGATTACAAATTCAAAATACATGATTTATTCGTCATTCCAAAGATGATGGTGGGACAGCAATCAGCCAAAAAGGTTTCCCCCACCAAAAGATGATGCATTCATCAAATTAATTGCGATGAAACACCCATTAATTGAACAAAAAAAGAGAGATAACCTGGTTATTAAGAAATAAATAGCCTCCAATGTAACAAAACAGAAGAAACGGCTCATCATCCATCTCAATTGGCATCTTCTCCTGGCCCACTAATGACCAACCCAGACACATGCTTGCCCTGGTGCACCATGAACTTGGTGGTGCCACAGTCAATCTTGATGATGGGCTTCTTGGGGCACAGGTCCAGGTCACCAGCATCAGCCACAGCCAAGATGGCACCATTCAGTTTCCATGTGCCCCTGGTGTCCACCTCTCCTCTCTTGCCCAGCAACAGGCCATCCTTGTCCACACACATCACTGACCTCACATCACTACCACTGCTCTGGGCACCATCCAAACACTTCTCCACTCCTGTCTCCATCTGTGATGCCACATCACATGGTTTTTTGGAAATAAAAATAGTTCATCATTACTCAAATACATAAACAACCAGCAACAAAGTTCTCCCATCAGTCAAATGCTTCACACTATGCAATCATTCCTGCAGATGATTTCGATGACACATTATAGTAATTTGTGCAGTTGAACAAATCATTCACCTGCTGATTACAAAACATTAAGGTCCTACAGCTAGTCAACCTCCTTTTGAAGGGCATGAAGAAGACTTTCCAACCATTCACATTTTTCAAGGTAATGAAATCAAAAATATTTCTTTGAAAATTCACAAGAAGCAGTGACCATATACTGTAGGATCAGAAACAAATTTTTGAAACTAAATTATAGAGAGAAAAAAACCATCCCCTTTTGCCAAGTTGAAATAAAAAGTTATGTGCTGCTCATGAACAATCCTTTCTGAATCCACATGAAATCTTGGAGTGACAAATATGTTGGACAATAGCAACGTAAGACCAATAGAGTACAGAAAATAACGACCTTTCAATTGCCAAATCATCTGCCAGAATAATTACATCCTGCCAAGCTATTCTAGCAAAAAATAAAATAAAATAAAATTATGCGCACAAGCCAAAGAACAGCAAAGAAATCATCTCCATTCCCAGCGTAACATATATGTTTTGTCAGAAGAAAGGAGAAAAGAAACCACATTGAAGAGAGATCAAACAAACAAACAAAAAAAAAACACTCAGGGCCCCAAGCAATGGAATGCAGCCCGCAAAATACCTTGCATCAACACCGAATCCATCTGATTTTGCTTCTCATCATCAAAAAAAGAAAATCCCCTCAGCATCTGCTATAGAAGATCTCCCTCACACAAGAAGTGCAACAAAAACCAGCACAACTCTCGGGATCAACTTCCCTGCAGATTTTCCGAGTGATGGCCAAAAACGGGACACATGTCCCAAACCGTGGGCCACACCATCAGGCCGTCCCACGAGAGAGAGAGAGGAAAAAAAAGGCTTGATCCGAGGATCCAGCAGCAGTTCCACCCAACACTGGATTCCACATCCAACACATATGAGCCACAACAACGAAAAAAAGACAGAACTCTCGCCAGTGGTAACACTATGAACCTCACACTTGTCAGCACATGACGAAAAAAAGAACGCAACTCAAACCCTTTTCCTTCTTTTCAAGCCAAAAAAAGAAAAAGAAAATGAACCAAACACTTGATTGGGACACAGCCAGGATAAAATGGGGGAAACGAAACCACGCAAAAATAAAATCAAACCATGATCCTCACCACCTCGATAGCTGACATGATGCGAGACACAAAAAACGTAAAAGGAGCAGTTTCACAGAAACCCTCGATATCTCCATTCTGCGAAAATTTCCTAACATAGGAATTACGATTCGAAAAAACAACTCAAGAACCACAAAAAATCACATCCAGAGAAACAGATGGAGAACCCTTTTTCTTCCCCTCAGGGGCTCCAAAAAAAAAAAAAAAAAAAAACCACACCTGGTCCTCACACCGAAACCCGAACAGTTTTCCTTGCCCACAGCAAAAATTGTATTTTTTTGACTAACTTTCTCCAATCGCAACAATAATTTCATCATGAAATACATGATTCAATTGGGACCACAAGCAAACAATCAAAAAAAAAAAAGAACCAAATTCCCCACACCAAAAATGTTCTGTCCTGTTACTCTTCCCAACAACTTTTGTCTGTCATGTTGAGCAAATTTCCTCGCAAACACGATGGGCGACACCAAACATTCGTTTCCATTCAGATTCACCAGGTCTATTCATTCCAACACTTTCTTCCATGAATATCAGATAGGTGTCGCCGAAATTCCTCCTCACCTGACCACAAAATAACGCGAGTCCTGAAATCTATAATTTTCCAATTTATATTCAGAGAAAACCATCAGGAATTCAATTAAGAGATAAATAAAGTCAAATTTAAAAAACAAAGAAAAGCTGCAGCAAAAAAAGACCCAGAAAAATCAATGACTTGCCTCAAGCTGTTTCATCCAAATACTGTAATCATCAAAGTATTAGGACATTTTAGTAGGTCTACTACTTTGGACTTGGACTAAATTCAGGCGACATCTATCAACAGCAAAAGATAACATGAAGTTCGGCGTGGAAATAGAAACCTAGCCACAAATTTTTCTCTCTCGAAAAAACAAAAACAAAATTGGAAACGAAAACCTTCGGGTCAATCCAAAACAACCCCCGATCTCTCGTCGTCATTCTTCTCTCTCAAGTCAAACACACAAGAGAAAAAACAAAAACATAATCATTCAAGCTCGGGATTAAGGACTTGGAATAAGCATCTCTTTTCCATCAGTCAAAAATCATCACAAATGTTTGCCAATGATGTAACTTTTTCCACAAAAAAATCGCAGAAGGGACTTTCCAACAAAGCGCCAAACATTCGTCCCAATTCAAAACCGTTCTTTCGCGTCGTGTCACCAGGTTCTCTTTCTCTCTCGCAGGGTAACAAGCACATTTACTTCATTTTCGCACCCCTCCCCCCCCTTGAACTTTTGCAGCGTCCACATAGAAAAAAAAAAAGTTGCGATCGTTCATAGAGAAATTGACACCACATCCTCAAAACGCAAAAGCAACGAACTGTGAGACCTCGAGAGAGAGAGAAAAAAGTTCAGGTCTTCGAAACACAAAATACCAATTAATTTACAGCCAATTTTTTCGTTGAATGAACGTGATGAAGAAACATCAACGATCCCTATAAACTTCCAACAGGATGATGACGTTACACCAACTTGACACTGATTCTACTTCATGCGATCGAAAAACTTTAAATTGACAAAAATTTCTTCGCCATAAAATAAATTTATCTGAAGCGTAAAAATCCTGTTCTAGCTTACTTTTTTTTTGCTCGTGAGTTTTTTTCGAAATAACCTGATCTAAGCCACGAAAGTCTATTTCAATCCCTCCACTGGTAAAAGGATATAAAAATTGAAGCAAGAGAAATCCCAAAGGGGTGTCCAAAAAGTCCAGGGCATTAAATCTTGGGAGAAAAAAATGTGGACCGAAGAGCCAGAGTTTTAAGCAGGAAATCGTCATGAAGAAAAGCGTCTTCTTCCATAAATTGTTCTCAAGCGGAAACCAAATGGCGACAGAAATATAATAATCAAGTCACTGTCACGGGCATCGGGAAAAGTTCCCCTTCTGTGTCAAAATTTGTTTTCCACGTTACTCATTGAAACTGCTAAAATTGAAAAATTCCTGCCACACGTCACCATCGAAAAATCCTTTTTTTTTCAACCCGGCTGCCCTTTTTTGATTTGTTTGCCAAAGTCGAACCTGGATTTCAATCGCGGACGATGAAAAAAAACCGTCGTCGTGAAATTCCACTTCGAAAAATGTTTACGACGAATCCACGGAACAAAAAAAAAATGTTCCTCCTTCGATTTGACGGTGATTTCGTCGCATGTCCCTCGAGTGAATTTCTTGCAAAAGTGAACAAAGAACACAAAGTCGCAGTTATCGAGCCCTGAGTTTGCTTCACACCTCACTCAAACTGTCCGAAATGGAACTCTTGATTCGGCGAACACTTGAGACCCACCTGCAAAGTCCCAAAGTCTTGAAATCTTGACAAAAACTGACGCACGATTTTCTCTTTTCACGACACACACACACACACACACACACACACACATTGCCGGCATTTTCATGAGTTTGTGAATTTAGAAGAAAATGGGACCATGCACAAAATGACAGCAACATTTCAAGACTGAGAGATTTTGAAACGGAGAGATTTTGAGGCAGAGACTGTTTAAAACAGAAATATTCCAAGGCAGAGACTACTTGAGATATTTCAAAATATTTTGAGACAGAAACAATTTGAGACTGGACCACTTTGAAAACTTGGATTATTCTTAATTGCTCTGCTTTCAAAATCTTCTTAGGCAGTCTACCAAGAGTTTCTATATTGCCCCTTCCATGCCTTTGTGTTGCATCCAGCTTTACCACGTATGCAATTGCAGCTTATTTTTGCTGTTTTTAATTGAACCTGTCTCAAATTGTCCCTGTCTCAATTTGTCCTCATCTCAAATTGTCCCTGTCTCAAACTGTCCTTGTCTCAAATTGACCCTGTCTCAAATAAACCCTGTCTCAAATTGACCCTGTCTCAAATTGACCCTGTCTTAAATTGTCCCTGTCTCAATTTGTCCTCATCTCAAATTGACCCTGTCTCAATTTGTCCTCATCTCAAATTGACCCTGTCTCAAATTGTCCATATCCCTCTACAGACACATTCTGTAAAACACATCTTTTTAAAAGATTTTGCTCTTCCTGAAGGATGAGGAAGTTACACTTCTCACCATTTTTACCAAGGAAATTTTTTCTTGAGAACAATCACTATTGAGACATCTGAGTTAGGGACCTGAAAATACTTCAAAAAATACCCTGGTGCAAAGGAAAAGTTTTTTTTTAAGAAAAAAAAAAAGAAAAACAATCATACGTCCTGGGATTCCAGTAGTTTCTCCTGGATACCGAGTTCCACAACTTTGAGCTCCTCGGCCAGTCGCTGAGATTCAGCTTCAACTTGTCCGAGACCAGCATCACCTTGAGACTCACTCAGCAGTCTCCCATTTATCTCAGCCAGTTCCATTTTCATCCATTCAGATTGCTGCGTCTTCACTGGCCTGCAAAAAAAAAATGCAATTGATCAAACGAGATCATGCAAACTCAATTAATCGAAATTATGATTCATCACAGTCGTCATTGGCTGTATCAGAATGAACACGTTTTTCTCGTCACTTGAGGCGTGAGATTACTGTATGTACTCCAGTCCTGTCGTAGAGAGATTGCACTTAGAAAAACACAAGTGAAGGTATTTCCTCTGTCCAGCCTTTTTTGGCATTCCTTCTTTATTTTTTGTAAATATTTTAGAGCCAGGTTTCGATTGGCATTTGTGCAAAAATTCCTCTTCTCAACTTTCATAGGGCTTTAAGCATTCCTTGTGAACTGCGTCATTTATTTGCCATCAA